AACAAGAAGCTACTAGGGGCTCCTGGCATCGCTACTAGGAACAAGAAACTACAAGTAGCAAGGACGTTCAGACGCGAAAACTGTTTTGCATTCTTGCCAGCGTGCTGCCGCCGACAAGCTGGCGATGAAGAGGCGTCTCTTTGAAGTGAAGGAGAAGGAGAGAGAAGAGACGACCGGTCGAAGAAGCACGTTTCGTTTTATACAAAAAGAGAGAAAAGAAGGAAGAATGAAAAAAAAGTAAAAGAGAAACCTAATAGCAATGACCTCCAACCCACTAGCGTCCTCGAAGAAGCACGTCAAAAGCGTCGCGTGAACCGAAGAGACCACAATCTCCCACCGTCAGGAAGCCAATCGAGCTCAAAAACAAAAAGATGCACAAAGTGCACTGGGCAGGAAGAAGTGTCGAGAGTGGGAGGAGCTCAAAGTGTGAAACGGTGCAGGTTTTGCTCAATTAAACAAGAGCTACAATCATAATATTCAGTAACAAAAAGCTACTAGAAACAAGGGCATTGCTACTAGTAACAAGGGCATTACCATTAGTAACAAGAAGCTACTAGTAGCGATTCACTTGTTACTTTAGTAACCAAATATGTGACTTTGCCTGGTTTGGCCCTGGCTTCTAATGCCAGGAAAGGCTGATGAAGTTCTACGCCAGTGCAGCAGCCGAGCGGACCCAGACAGAGGCGTTTGTTGTCTTGTCTGACGCTCGCTTCACTACTTCGGCTTGGGGGCCAGATGGAAGGTTGTACGTTAGCTTCTTGTTCCTAGTAGCGATGCCAGGAGCCCCTAGTAGCTTCTTGTTACTACTAGTAAGGCACTTGTTACTAGAAGCGATGCACTTGTTCCTAGTAGCTTCTTGTTCCTAGTAGCGATGCCAGGAGCCCCTAGTAGCTGGCCTCCAACCTAGTAGCTTCCAGCTACTAGTAGCTTCTTGCTCCTAGCGATGGCCTCCAACCTACTTGCGATGGCCTCCACCTAATAGCGTCCTTGCTACTAACAAAGCAAACCAAACGAGTTGGCAGGTGTCTTTGTGACAAGTTGGGCGGCAAAGCGCCAAGCTCTTGATCCTCTACCTCCAAACGCCTAGCTTACAAGCTACCATTTTGCATGTCAATTTCTTGCCTTTGCCAAGAGCTTCTGGTCACTGGCACGGTCATGCGCAAAGTTGGCACCGTTGCCTAGAATCCATGCCTGTAGCACAAAAGCAGAAGCAAACGCCGAAACGACACCAGGTGCACTCGCCTCGACACTGTGAAGGTCAACGTCACCTGAAAAGACAAGCACTGGAACAAAGCATATTCTTTGGGTTTTTTTCTTCCTGAAAGCAATTCTCAACAAATAGTATAGAATGCATCAAAGACTTGTTCTCTAACGGACACGAGTGCCCATATCCTGAAACGTGTGAGGTGTGCGCATGATAGCTTCTTGTTCCTAGTAGTAAGGCCAGGAGCCCCTAGTAGCTTCCTGCTGTTGCCACTGGCAAATCCGGAGTTTTGGGGCACTTTGTCCTGTCTCACGCTTGGTGCTAGGAACAAACATCGTGGCGTCAAGCTGGCTATCGATAGAATGCAAGGGGAACAGAACCTAAAAGAGTAGAGTCAGTAGAGTCGAGTAGGATGGAACATTGTAGATAGCCGCTGAGTGGCAGTTCGAACTCAAACAATGGAGACTTGATGCCCCATGCTGGTCTACATGTCGCGTGCTGCGCGAGTGGACAGAGTTGAACTATCTTTTTGTTTTTTTTGGATAGTTTTATCCTTGGTTACCTATCAACTGATTTATCAATGTATTAACATCCCAGCCGTATGTATCGTCTGTTTCTCTGACAAGTTCTTTTGACACTGCTTCGCCAATTGAAAACAGTGCTTTTCTGCTTCTTGCGACCTCACCTGGCAGTCGTCCAGTCTCCAGAGCCTCCAAAAGCCTTCAGACCGCAACGAGTCCAAAGCAATCGCTCTTCGGCTGGAGGCCATTGCTCTTGGGTTGGAGGATATCGTTCTTCGGTTCGAGGTCATCGCTCTTAAAGTCTTCATTTGGACAGGTGTCATAGACTGTGCCCTGCATGTCCGGCATGCATCCCTCAGGCCATCACTGTGGCACAGACACTGAGACCAGAATTTCTTGTATCTCCTGGAGTTCCGAGTTGTTCTTCAATGATTACTGCTAGCGCCCTTGTTACTAGTATTAAGGCCAGGAGCCCCTAGTAGCATTCTTGTTACTACCAGTAAGGCACTTGTTACTAGAAGCGATGCACTTGTTCCTAGTAGCTTCGACAGTCGAGAACTCGGGAGCGGTTCTGTGAACAAGGAAGACAGGAAAAAACATCCAATACAAAATGAGGGCTGAAGGTAAGAGGAAGAACAATTCCGAAGGGAAAAAAGGAAGACAGGTCTCAAGAAGCACAGAAGAAAGGATTGAAGAGTTAAAGGGACAAATGTCTAAAACGAAGACTGGATTACAAAAAGGGAAGAAAGGCCTAAAGAAAAACACATGGTTCTTTGCTCCTAGTAGCGAACCTTGTTCCTAGTAGCCCTTTGCTCCTAGCAGCGTCCTTTGCTCCTAGGTTTTGGTTTACAACATCGTCAAGTCCAGGCGATTTGGTTTCTTTCGCCGTTCGCAGTGGACAATTTCATGCACAGTCGTCCAGTCAAGCGAGTTGCAAAAACTCGGGGTAAGAGGTTCCGGGAGAAATGGGGAGGCGAGTTGCAGATTGAGAAAAGTTGGGAAAAGGTAAGAAGGGACAATGCGACATCTTCCGACCCTCTACTGCCTGTAGTAGCTTATTGCAACTACTAGTAAGGCAGTCTGGTTCACAACGCTCCCAAATTTTTTTGTCCAAAAAAGAGGCTCTCAGAACATCCTCGCTAAATGCAGCCACAGATCAATGTGTCCGTTTGGATAAGTTTCAAACGCAGGACACCAACAAACACTAGCTGTTAAGTTTCCCCGAACATCTAGGAACCAAAACAAATCTTTAAGCCTAGCCTGCATCTGATCGGCAGTAGCCGCTCAAGCACTAGTAGCGCTACAAGTAGCTTTGCGGCCTACCCCCTTTGAAGGCCTTGTCATTTTTGAAAAACATGATGTCTAGGGGTTATTATAGCTACTAGGAGCAAGGATGCTACTAGGGGCTCCTGGCATCGCTACTTGGAACAAGAACCTACCAGGGGCTCCTGGCCTTACTACTAGGAGCAAGGCCGCTAGTAGTTTTTTTCAAAGAGCTGTTCGCAATGACTGGGTGGCTGATCAGCGCTTTGGTATTGCTACTGCTATTGCTACTGCTGCTGCTACTGCTGCTGCTGCTGCCTTGTCTCCCCACTCCTCTGCCTGTTTGATCAGCCTTTTGTCTGCGGCTGCCAGAGTGTGCCCATCCAAGAAGCTGTGTGGTTGGAGGGGGGGTATCCAGTTCCAGATCCAATTTCAGTTCCAAATGGCTGGTTGGAGGGATCCAGTTTCAGTTTCAGATCCAGTTCTTGTTCCGATCAAATGGTTCAAGTCTAAGTATTATCGTGGGTATCACAGAAGCCCAGGCTGACACAGAGCGTGCAGAACACAAGTGTTTCTCAGCACATTGAGAACATCGCTATTAGGTTGGAGGCCATCGCTCGTAGGTTGGAGGCCATTGCTATTAAGTTTCGACCCAAGCCGACACACGTGCGTCAGCGCAGCCTCACATCCCCCTAAGAGCATGAGTGAGTGAGTGAGTGAGTGGCCCCACACAAAACCAGCAAACAACTAAAACTCAAATCATTAGTGCGAGAGCTATCCTGCGTCCTCTTCCTAGAAGCTAACTCGTTGCTTAAGTAGCGAACAGATTTCTCCCTTACTAAATTAGGTAGGTGCCTACTTAATTGGCAGAAGCTAGAAGCTAGTAGGGGCTCCTGGCATCGCTACTAGGGGCAAGGACGCTACTAGGGGCTCCTGGCCTTACTACGAGTAACAAGAAGCTACTAGGAGCATGAATGAGATCAGAAATGCCTTGTTCCTAGGAGTATTTAATGCCCTTGTTACTACTAGTAACAAAACTCTTGTCTTATGTCTGTCACCTGTCAGTGCTGCCACTTGGAGGCCCATGAGAGCTCGGCTTTCACGTGTTTCACATGCATCTTCCCCTTCTGCGCATTTCTACAGTATCCTTCCTAGTCAACTCCAAGCTAGAAGCTACTAGGGGCTCCTGGCAAGGTTCGCTACTAGGAGCAAAGGGCATCGCTACTAGGAGCAAGGTTCGCTACTAGGAGCAAAACTCTTGTCAACTCCAAGGATCTGTAGAGACAAACCCAAAGCCAGGTTGGAAGCGTCGGCGTTTTGGTAATTTCGCTCGGTGTTGGACCTTGTTCAACCAGCCTTTGCGTACAAAAGGCAACAGGTTGCTTGGCTGATTTCGTGTTTGTACAAGCAAAGCTCTGTGCAGTCCACACCGGTTCATGTTTGGAGGACCGATATGGTTTCTGAAACTCATGAGGTCCCGTCACGTGGCCGATGGGAGAAAGAGCTGTGCAACCTAGCGATGGCCTCCAACTAGTTGGCCGAATACTTCAACGAGTACTTGCTGAATGATGTCATGGTCCACTTTCACTTGGCAGCGGTACAACAAAGCGCTCCTCCAAATCCCGATATCTTCTCTTCTTTTTCAGCTCAGCTAACCTCTCAGCAAACTGTCTCATGTGCTGAGACGCGGAAGGTCCAAGAAGAAACATAAAAGGCACCAAAAAGCCAACAAGAACCAAACCAGAACAACAGGCTCCAACCAAGAAGCGATAGCCTCCTAGGCCAACAAGAACAAACATCCTTGGCTGGATTGTTCTCCCGCCTCTGAAGGGCGTTCTTTCTGTTTTCTTCCTTGCTTCTCTTCTGCCCTGGACGCTTTTGATCCTCCTGAAACGAAAAAACGATCCGCCAAACACGTCCAAACTTCGGCGTTCGGTCCTTGGAGTGCAAATCTAGTAACAAGTGCCTTACTAGTAGTAACAAGTGCCACGCTAGTAGTAACAAGTGCCTTACTAGTAGGGAACATTGTTACTACTAGCGTGGCACTTGTTACTAGTAGCGAACATTGTTACTAGTAGTAGGGCCAGGAGACCCTAGTGGCGTCAAACCCTTACTTTTCTTATTGAAGCGAGTCATACCTGCAAAAGGAACCTTATAGCAGCCTCCAAACTACTAGCGATGGCCTCCAACCTAAGAGCGATAGTCAAAAAGCAAGAGGAGTTGGGCAACACCGGAATTACGAAGGAACAAGTGCATCGCTACTAGGAGCAAGTGCATCGCTACTAGGAGCAAGGAACACTTCCAAAACCGATGCTTCTCCTCGACTGATTGCCATTCCAGGCGAAAGTCCCGTGCGGCTTTGCCATTGAAGTAGACCACCTGTGTAAGTTTCCAACCTAAGAGCAATGGCCTCCAACCTAATAGCGATGGGAGGCCATCTTTCATTTTCTTCATGCAAATTATGTGACGATCTCACAAAAACAGAGAGTGACGATCTCACAAACCATCATGATGTCTGTCTCTCGTCATCGCAAAGCCTTGCCGTTTCGTTGCATCTCAATGCATTTCAATGCGCCAAACAATATGTGTATTATTTCTATTTTTTCCGCCAAAACGGAGGTGCTGAAGAACAAGTGCATTGCTTCAAATACATCAGCTCATCGTCTCCAACAAAACGTGCCTCGGAAGCTTTTGGGTCATGCTGTCTGAGCAGGAAGAAGCCAACCTCTGAATTTCGGTGTGGCGGTGGGACTCATTTATGCAATTAGGTTGGAGGCCATCCCTTTATCATTCCGTTCCCATACCCTTTGCATACTATCCAAATCTAGATTTAAGAACACATTGCAGTTGGGGTTCCACGAGGGCTTGCCCATTTGGACACTTTGTGGGTTATTGTTGGAGTGACACGATGGCGTTCTTTTGTGTCTTTTTTAAAGCAACAACGAGGTTGGAGGCCATTGAGGTTGGAGGCCGGGCATTGCACAAAAACGCTCCGTTCGTAGCGATGCCCTGTGTTCCTAGTAGCGTCCTCTTGCTCCTAGTAAGGCCAGGAGCCCCTAATAGCGTCCTAGCTTCTGAAAACCGAAGAGTCTCTTCCTTTGATAATGGACCTTGGCTCTCGTCAGGCTCTCCTTCTTTGGACCTTTTTGCACCCTTTTCTCGGTTTGCGCCGCCGTGGCTGTGGCCGTCGGGACCTTGAGTGTTCTGCCTTGGTTCAGGAGCTAATGCGGCTATGTTCACCGAAACTGCTCCGTTCGTAGCGATGCCCTTTGCTCCTAGTAGCGAACCTTGTTCCTAGTAGTACGGCCAGGAGCCCCTACTAGCGTCCTTGCTCCTAGTAGCGAGGCTAGCGTCCTGGCACGGCCTTTGCTCCGCTATTGTGCTTTGTTTCCTCGAAATTGCTCTGTTCGTCCAGTCGCGATTGGCGTCGTTCTTAGCCTATGTGGCTGGGCGCACGCGCGTAGTGAACAACCTGGCAAGAAACATGTAGTAACAAGTGCCTTACTAGTAGTAACAAGTGCCTTACTACTAGTAACAAGAAGCTATTAGAATTAAATGTTCCTAGTAGCAAAGCAACGCAGTAGGAGCTCCTGACGCATTCGTTGTTTGATTAGCTGGGACTGACCTGATCGCAGGTTCTTTTCGAGCCGTCCCCTGGTCCCGCAATGCATTGCTTGTGTCGACTCATTTGGCATTTGGGGCTCTGTTGGCAGCTATTGATAACAAGGTGCATCGCTACTAGGAGCAAGAATGCTACTAGGGGCTCCTGGCCTTACTACTAGGAGCAAGGGCCTTACTGCCAGCAACAAGAATTAGAATAGAATTAAAAGTAATTAGAAATAAGGCTAATTAGAATTGAACTAATTTCAATTAGAATCTCTAGTATGAAAGACGCTACTAGGGGCTCCTGGCATCGCTACTAGGAGTAAGGACTCCTGGCCGTACTACTAGGAGCAAGGACGCTACAGTATTTTTTCTTTTCGGACATATCCTTTCTAAGACAATCTGTGCTGTTCCTATCTCGTTCAATCTCCAAGCATTTGAACCCAAGTCTCACCTAAAGTCATCTGTTCTTTCTTCTTACAATTGAAAGCGTCTGAGCCCAACACTCCCTTTGTACTTGTCCAAATCTCTATGTACAAGTCTGTGTGCATTGACTTCTGGTTGGTATCAGTGCTGTTGTATTTCCAAGCAGCTTGACATATGAAACTGTAATGAACATGTGGAAGCTGTAATTGCAATTCATCACTGTTTCCATTTTGATAAAACTTAGATCCAAATCCAATTTGGTTCTAATTTAGTCTAATTGAAGTCTAATTAATTCTTTTGTTTGTCTAATTTAGTTTAATGGACATCTATTTATAAGTTAGTTTTAATTCAATTTCAAATTTACTTCCAATTCAAATCTACTTGAATTCCAGTTTAATTCAAATTTTATTGCAAAATTCAAGCATAATTTAATCCTAGTTCAATCATAATTTAACTCTGATCCAATTCTAAGTTAAACAATTCCAAGTCCGTCTAATCAATTCTAATTCAAAACACGGGCCCATGGCGTGCCGCTCACTTTTAAAGACCGCTCTGCCCCCCCTACCTAGAAGCAATGGCCTCCCTAAGAGCGATGACCTCTTTGGATTCGGGACATTTTAAGAGTTCTCTTCTTGTTCCGAGCCCCTAGTAGCGAACCTTGTTTCTAGTAGTACGGCCAGGAGCCCCTAGTAGCGTCCTTGCTCCTAGTAGTAAGGCCAGGAGGCCCTAAGAGTTATCTTTTCCCGAATGCTTTTCCCGAAATTGCTGGTGTGAATTTTAAACATTGGCATTGGTCCTTGATTGAACTACTTCTTGCCACTACTACCAATGCCTGCAAGAATGTTGTTAAGAACGTCTTAAACTTGGTGACTTGGAGCGTGGGTCGCGATTTATTAACCAAACTTGCGACATCAAACAGTCTTCCAGTTTGCTCTTGTGTCGCGAATTCCGGCAGTTGCCAAGGTCGCATGAACGATTCTAGGTCGTGTGTGGTTCTCACCAATCCTCGCCTTGTTTCGATATGGCCAATCCAGTCCATATAGCTCCTCAAGACAACCAAGCTTGAAAAGCATCTTACTAGTAACAAGGACGCTACTAGGTGGAGGCCATCGCTATCAGGTTGGAGGCCATCGCTACTAGGAGCAGGAAGCTACTAGGGACTCCTGGCCTTACTACTAGGAGCAATGTTCGCTACTAGTAACAAAGGGCATCGCTACTAGTAACAAGGACGCTACTAGGTGGAGGCCATCGCTACGAACGGAGCAAGAAGTGACTGTCGGAACCATTCGAAACCCCAGTCCCACAGCCGCAAGATGTCATACGCGGTCTGGACATCGTACAACTGTTGCCTGACCGAGACGACCAGGGCTTTGTTGGACAAAGCAGGGTTTTGTGCGGTTCTTTGTAAACATTGAGCACATCACATGCCTCTTCTTGGTACGAAGAAGGTTGCTCGTCTGCGACATTCTTTACACCTTGTTATTGCAGTTTCCCACAAAAAAGTTTTGCATTACAACCTGTTCCCTCCCACAGCAAACCACTTCCTTTTGCAGGGGTGAGTGTGCAGGCTACCATGAGATGCCTGAGGTCAAAAGCTGGAGCACGTGACCTAGAAGCGGCCTCCAACCCAATAGTAGTAACACGTGCCACGCTAGTAGTAACAAGTGCCTTACTAGTAGTAACAAAAAGCTATTAGAATTAAAATTAAGCAACAAAAATACAAATACGGCACAAATGGTCAGCGTGGGCTCGAAGCCACGCAAAGTGGTCGCTCTAAGGCCAACCAGTCTGTTTGCACCTTCCTCTAACGGCAACTAGGGTGGAGGCCATCGCTATTAGGAAAGGTCTAAAATTTAAAGGTCTACAGAAAAAAATGCTACTAGGGGCTCCTGGCCTTGCTACTAGAAACAAGAAGCTACTACCAGGTGGATTCATGGAATGTCGCCTCCATACATGTCCCTTGACCTTCCGCACCCATTCACCTCTGAGAGGAATGGGGCCAAAACGATGAACAATCATTCAAAAGGCCTTTCGTGCACCTTTTTCGTTTTAAGATCTTCGTTTGATAAACGCTGGTCTTTCCATTGTCTTCTTTGTATTAATTTGGCAAGGTGAAACTATCTCACAAGGTGAGTCATAGACCGCAGGAAGCGGAGAGGTACGGTAAGAGTCACAGGTGGCAATGGGTTGAGTAACTGGGTGGCAATATCCTGATGCCATCGCTACGAACGGAGCGATCGGACGCTACTAGGGTGGAGGCCGCTATTAGGAAAGGTCTAAAGGTCTAAAGAAACCCCTCTGTCGAGGATCTTCCGAACCGTATCACGAACCACTTCTTCACGCCTTCGCAACAAGGGTATAAAAGCTCTTCGTTTGAAGTTGAAGGTGCAAAAATAGAGCAGCACAGCCCTTATCTTGGCCTGTCGGGCAACAAGCAAATGCAGTGAAGAGATCGTTGCCTTCGTCCAAAGAGGGATGCCAACAATAAAAAGTGAAAGGGCAATGCTGCACAACGTGAGAAAAAGGATTGTGAGAAAGTAAGTGAAGAAACCATGCTGTAACAACCTGTGCAATACCACCGGCGCACGCCTGTCGCAGGCTGGGATAGCGAAGCTCTGCGAAACGGAGGCGTCCACCACCTGAGGGTGATGAGGAACATGCTGAGTGGTCCTTTCAAAAAGAACATATGGTTTTATGGAGTTTTCAAAAAGGACGCTACTAGGTTACTAGGGGCTCCTGGCCTTACTACTAGGAGCAAGGACGCTACTAGGGGCTTCTCCCAGTGATTTGGGCGCTGTCTGGAATCCTCCAACAAATAGATTCTTGTTCCAAGTAGTCAGGCCAGGAGCCCCTCGTAGCGTCCTTGCTCCTAGTAGCGATACCAGGAGCCCCTAGTAGCTTCTTGTTCCCAGTAATCTTCCTTAAAGGAAAGATGAAAAGCTCAACGCGCACCCGTGTTCGCCTCAAAGATTGGACGTGAATGCCCACAAAGGTGCATGTTTAATTGCTTCGATTGACCATGCTGGTACCTCTTCTGTCCTCACATCAAATTCAAACACGGCCATTGCTAGTAGGTTGGAGCACCATTTCTTGTTAAATAGCAATCTTGTGCGCCGTTTCCCAGTGGGTGCACTGAGCATCAAAGTGCAAAACATTTCCCAAGGAAGCTTCTAGTAGGGAGGGGGGCAGCCGGTTAGAAAAACACAATAACCCTTGTTGTTGCGGGTGAGACGATTCCCCAAGGAAGCCTGTGTCCTCGCAGGTTCACCTTTTCTTGCCAAACTCCCTTATTGTTACTAGTAGTAAGGTGCCTTGCTACTAGTAGCGATGGCCTCCACCCTAGTAGCTTCTTGTTACTACTACTACTACTACTAGTACTACTAGTACTACTACTACTACTACTACTACCACCACCACCGTCTTCACCTATTTCAAACTGAAAATTGGTAGCCCGTCGATCGGCGTCCGAAAGCATGAAATTCGCATCCCTCATGTGGCCCACGAAGGTGCTATTAGTAACAAGTGCCACGCTTCTAGTAACAAGTGCCTTACTAGTAGTAACAAGAAGCTATTAGAATTAATTTGAATTCTAATTAGACTTAATTCTAATTCTTGTTGACCTGCATCATGAAGCTTACTAGAAGCGACTTGCACCCCTCATGTGGCCCACGAAGGTGCTACATGCGACCGTTGACCTATGTACCTCTTCAGTCCTCGAATGGTCCAAAGGGTCTAAAGGTCTTCGCTACTAGGAACAAGTGCATCGCTTCTAGTAACAAGTGCCTTACTAGTAGTAACAAGGTTCGCTAGTAGAAACATAGAAGCGACTTGCAGTGACTTGCAGCTTCTCCCCCTCAGGTTGAGACTCGCTGCGATTGTGGTCTCCGCAAGGCCGATGTGTTGCAGCTCCTTACAAACTGCATATAGCCTCCTAGCGATGGCCTCCAACCTAAGAGCGATGACCTCCAACCTACTAAGTTAAACGTAAATAAAAGCTGAAGTCGCGGAAGTGTTCGCCAAATGCGAAAAAAGCATCAGGTGTGAAGCCGATTCATGTGGAGCCGTCCTTTTGCAGGGCACCGGCTTGATGTGCTGACTGGGAGAAAATTTCCATCAGCGGCGAAGAAACTGGAATGAAGGATCTGTCCTGCACATTCTTTGAGCTTCTTGCTACTAGTAGCGAACCTTGTTCCTAGTAGTAAGGCCAGGAGCCTCTAGTAGCGTCCTTGCTCCTAGTAGTAGCTTCTTGTTACTAAGAACACAACGAGAAATGTTCTCTTTTGTATTCTATTTTCGTATCACCCGTTGTTTAGTTTCTGCATCACCGAAACTGCAAAGCAGGTTCGACGCCCGGCTGCAACCAGAGTGTGAATTGCGGTGACACTATAGCACTCGCAGGACGCAGCAAGCTTTGAGACACATATAAACTGAAAGAAGCACAGGAGCAAGGACGCTACTAGGGGCTCCTGGCCTTGCTACTAGGAGCAAGAAGCTACTAGGAACAAAGGGCATCGCTACTAGGAGCGATCGGACGCTACTGGTAGCTCCGGGCATCGCTACTACTGAAAAACACATTGGGCAGCAAAAAGACCATGAAATGTGGGTGTGGGCAGGGGGTTGGTGAGTGTTCCACGGAGTGGTGCCCCAGCCATGCCGGGTTGGCCTTCAGGGTTGCGTCACTGAAAGATCCAAATCGTTTGGAAAAACGGCTTGAGTAGTACAATTGTAAAAATCAACACGTGCCCGTGGGCAGAAAACAAAAACATTAAATGTAACCAAAAACATCTAGACCCGGTACAATCGTAAAGAACAACACAATTGCAACGAATGGTGGCAGTAGCAAAAGCGCGCCACAAGAACGACATTTGCCTGCCACATATGCCAAAACCAACGTGATGACAACATCACTGACAAACCACGATAACGGCAACAACTACGGTCAAGTGCGGCCATTCGGAAAGGTGAACGGCCCGGTGAAACAGGACCGGCCCATTGGTCAACATGGAGTGGTTGACCCTCGACCCTCGTCTTCCTCTACGAAGTGGTTGAAGGCTTCCGGGCCGCCCAAACCTTCTAGCAGCAAACCCTGCAGGGCAAAGTTTGAAATTGGAAAATCGACACAGACTCAAGGGAATCAAGGGTGCCAAACATGTTCAACTTGGTTGAAAGCTACCAATCAGCAGAACTTCTGTGTGTTCAATCTCACGTTTTGGTAACCTTACGTCTGTGCGCGGAGCTGGGTGTTGCCTGCAATCCTTTCACTGATCGCAGCTCGACCTCCCTTGGCACGAACTCCAAAGGGACCTGGCAACTCCGCTTTGCAAGTTCTTCCACAGAATGTATAACAATAAAAGAACTTATTGTTTCTAATAGCTTCTTGTTACTACTAGCAAGGCACTTGTTACTAGAAGCGATGCACTTGTTCCTAGTAGCTTATTGTTTCTACTAGCTGTGTCGAAAACCTATTGGAACTGGCTTTGTACTCCTAGCATCCTTTCGCAACAGTTTTCGCGGTCCTTTCGCGGGACCTTTCGCGAGAGAAGTTAAGACACACACACACACATATATATATACACATACTATATACATAACCCCCAAACATGCATATATAAATCTATATTGCCTCCTTCTAGCAAACCTTTGCCTTCTTTTACCCGGACTAGCAATTACTAAGGAGTCTTCTCTTGTACGATTAAGCAAACACATAAGCCACACTTCTTCTTGCCAGATGTTCAAGCAGAGTGCGTAGATTCGGTGCTATCATCGGAATCACTGGAGGATGAAGAAGATGAAACTGCAGACGCACGAATTTGCCTCAGTTGCCTGCGCTTCTTGGCAGCAGCTTTGCGAAGCGACAGTGCTTTGGCCGAACAGCTTTCCAAGAAAGAAGGTCTGCGAGAGAGCATCTCTGCTGCACGAAAAGATTTTTTGCGCGGGCTGTGGGGCTGCTACTCATCTCTACTCTCTGTTTTTCTTCCAAGCACTCGACTAGCAGTTGATTTGGAGCTGCGCCAGAGCTCTGGCAGCCTTTCTGGGCCTTGTAGAATTCTAGAAGATGTGTGTAGTGGCGGAGGCCATCGCTATTAGAAACAAAGAATAAGAGAAAAGGATGAAATGGTGTCCGTACTTCTGTACTTTGGTCTGGTCCATCCGTGGAAAGACCACATGGCCGGAGCCGCTCTGCCATTTCTTATATCATATCTATATATCAGAAGCTACTAGGAACAAGTGCCACGCTACTGGTAACAGGTGCCACGCTACTAGGAGCAAGAAGCTACTAGGGGCTCCTGGCCTTACTACTAGGAACAAGAAGCTATTAGGAACAAGTGCATCGCTACTAGTAACAAGTGCCTTACTAGTAGTAACAAGAAGCTATGAGGTTGGAGGCCACCGCTACTAGGGACGCCATTGCTAGCAGGTTGGAGGCCATCTGATAGTAAGGAGCGACAGGCACCATAGATCACCACCTCTTTTTCCCACACCGGCTCTCCTAATAGCTTCTTGTTACTACTAGTAAGGCACTTGTTACTAGAAGCGATGCACTTGTTCCTAATAGCTCTCCTGCCGTTGTGTCTCCTGTTTGTGCACCAGCCTGATACCTGCAGGGCTCGCTTGGTGGCATCTGCGATCCCTTCCTTCAACATATAGCCTTCACTTTCATCTCCGAATCATCCCCCCAACACCACCACATATGCCCCACAGGCAAACCGGCGCTGGCGGAAACGCTTCCACCGCAAGCAACATTGTCGCCACAGAAGAAAGAGAGGTGATTCTGAGAATGGGGAAGGCGTCTTGAAGAGCCCCCGTCATGATCTTGAACACCCACAGAAGCTGTAGTTGCACCTGGCCGGAGAAGACGACACGGTGCCTGCTCAAGCGCGAAGTCCATACAGAGTGAACCGTCTCGGCCCAACTTGTCGGCCTTCTCGGATTACAGCTGGCTCACGAAGCAGCGACAGCACGTGTGGCATCAAGTAGGCCAGAATGCTGGATCAAGCTGACTGAAGATGATCTACCAGTATTTTTTGGAGGCCATCGCTTAAGTTTCTCTAAACATCTAGGACTGAATATGATGAATAAGAAACTAGGAAGCTACTAGGGGCTCTGGGCCTTACTACTAGGAACAAGAAGCTACAGTACTAGGGGCTTCTTGATTAAGACAGAAGCCTTGATGATGCGCACCGAGCTCGCACTGATCGGTGAGGAGCATATGTCCCGCCGAAAAGTGGGTGTGGTGCACACAGGAGTCTCACAATACCGGGAGCTCCCCAAACAAGAGGCCGTTTGAGAGGAACAAGTTGCATTGACATAGCGCTAAGATGCGCAATGACGAAGCCTAGGCTTCTTGCGCAGGTCATCCTCTTGCCAATTGTGACCACTGTTCTTGATTTCTGCCACTAGGAGCAAGAAGCTACTAGTAACAAGTGCATCGCTTCTAGTAACAAGTGCCTTACTAGTAGTAACAAGAAGCTACTAGGGGCTCCAGGCCTTACTACTAGGAGCAAGAACGCTAGTAGGAACAAGTGCATCGCTTCTAGTAACAAGTGCCTTACTAGTAGTAACAAGAAGCTACTAGGGGCTCCTGGCCTTAGTACTAGGAGCAAGAACGCTAGTAGGAACAAGTGCATCGCTTCTAGTAACAAGTGCCTTACTAGTAGTAACAAGAAGCTACTAGGGGCTCCTGGCCTTAGTACTAGGAGCAAGAAGCTACTAGTAGCTCCTGGCATCGCTACTACGAGCAAGAAGCTACTAGTAGCTGTTGGTCCACCCTCCACTCCAAGTGCCGCATGATGCAACCCAAGTCAGGACTCAGCTGTGGTTGATTCTAGGTGCTTCCACGTGTGCTACAATACTCTTGTATTATCAAGCTTTCACTTTGAATCACAAGGTTCACTGGGCCAGTTGCGCTCTCCACAAAGCTTGGATTTTGCACTATGCCAGGGATTGTCTCGCTAGAAGGTTGGATGCCATCGCTTAAGTTTCCCTAAAAATCTAGAAACCAAATCATTAGAAGCGTGAGCTATCCTGCATCCAGTTACTAGTAGCTTGCTTGTCCTCGTCCTTCTACTAGCTACCTTGCTAGCTACTACCTACCTCCACTAGCGGCCTACCCCCCCAAAAAAAATAAATAAACACACACACACACATATATATATATTTATACATAGATAAAGAAAGACATTCTAAAAGAAAAAACTCTTTTCTGTTTTACGTCTCCACTCTCCTGAGTTCAGACGTTTCCCCATCCTCTTGCAAGAACCATTTGGGCAAAGCTTGTCGTCCATACCTGCAAACACCCGAAAACACACAAAATTCTGCATTTTAATTGAATTCTTGTTACTACTAGTAAGGCACTTGTTACTAGAAGCGATGCACTTGTTCCTAGTAGCTTCTTGTTTCTACTACCAACACATGTTTTAAACATGTTTTTCGAACCACAAATCATAAGCCCGGAAAGAAACCATTCCAGTCGAACCGTGAAACAACAGACTGCTAGGGTGCAAAACTTTGGGCAAAGCTGGCAACGCATGAGCGCCCAAAGCGTGTTTGGTTTTCGCCCCCTGCGCAGGAAATGGGCGGAGGGGAAGGGCAACTAGTAGCGATGGCCTCCAACCTAATGGCGACGGCCTCCACCTGTAGCTTCTTGCTACTAGTAGGGGGAAAGAATAACAGGGAGACCCAAACAAGGGAAGATTCTAAGATCAAACCAAAAGTGGGCAAAGAGCGGGTCAGTAAACGTGTTACAAGCGCAAGTTGTTTGGCAACAAAAGTAAACCCCGCAAGTGGTTTGGTTTGTCTTTGAAGGTGTAACAGTCCATGGTACGATGCTCGGCGTCCACCTTGGACATCCCAAACCAAGAAGCTACATGCACAACAACTTCTTGCCACTTAATCTCTTTCGCAGGAACTTCCAAAAACAATTTCTAAACAATATCTTAGTTGCCCGGTATCACAAAAAACAAATCAGAACATAATTTGGAAACACCGCCAGCAAAACTGAAGACATCGCAAAACAAAACAACACTTCCAAATTTCCACCAAAAGGCACATTTTTCCTGACTCTGTGTACTATATGCCTTTGCGGTGAACAACCGCTCACCTAAACTGAACACCATATAGTTGTCACTACAGCATACCAAGATACTACAGCTCTTGCTTCTTGTTCTGTTACAGCTCTAGCTGTCTGTGCTGCTCAGTCCTGGATGGATCCTCTCCGTCCTGGGTTGATTGTCACTGTGGATGTGAGGGAAGCATGGCGGTACTGAGGGCAGCACTGGGGCTTCCGTCGAGAATCACCGGAGCCTGCTGATTTTTAAAAAACTTCTCAGAATCGTTTCTGTGCATGTGTATACATGTCGAAAGATACATGATATACATGTATATAGATAGAGATAGAGATAGAGATAAACATGTTTTTTGGGTCTTTCTTTTCTTTACCTTGACTCCGACGGGAAAGATCATGCCGGAAGGCCGCGCTCCTCGGCAAAGCCTATGGCGAGATGGGCTTCCTCAAAGTGCAGCATACACAAGTGAACAAGAAGAAACGCAGAAACTGTGCCACAGTGAAGACCAAACAAAGAGAACTGGAGTAAAGGAACGAAGAAGGGGAAACTGAGACAAGCGGCTCCATTTAACTTTGAGAAGAAATGCAACTGACAAGTGTGGTGTTGTCGCGCAAGTCTGGTCCCGAGCCGGAATGGGCATATAGCGGTCAATGGCCGAAATGACGTTCAAGCTGCTCAGAAGCCGCTCCTCCAAGTGACGTGAAAGCGTATGTGCTGCGTCGCGCAGCTTTTGGGGCTACTAGGAGCAAAGGGCATCGCTACGTTCGGGGCTCCTGGCCGTACTACCAGGAGCAAGTAGCTACAAGAAACAAGAAACTACTAGTAACAAGGGCATCGCTACTAGTAACAAGAAGCGACCATAGACCTTTTTTCCTTTTCATTTTTCTTTGTTTCTAATAGCGATGGCCTCCAACACGTCCTTTTTGTTTATCGTCACCCTCCTATGTGACGGCAATAATACATACGGTTTTGAGGGGATGCCTCAAGGCATGCCAGGTTTGAACCAAACTTGGTTCCACCATCGAATTCTAGCTAAGGCGGTTCCGGGAGCTTCCTGGTGATTAGACTTCGTCTTTGGAACGTTCCAAGTTGCTTCTGGGAAGTTTCTCGGTTCAGTTTTCTCGGACGTTCTGGTCGGCCCCAGGAGCAAAGACGCTACTAGGAGCAAAGGGCATCGCTACTAGGAACAAGTGCCTTACTATTAGTAACAAGAAGCTAGTAGAAACAAGTGCCTCACTAGTAGTAACAATAAGAAGATCATTCCATCATTACCACATACACATGTGCATCTAAGAAGTTTACGAGAGCGTTTTGATAGCGATGCCAGAAAGGAAAACGCCTATGCCAGCGAACAGTTTCAGCATGTTTTTTTTGGCGACCCAAACAGAATTCCGTTGGTACAGCGTTCGCCAGGACGGTCAAGGGACAGGACAAGAGGACACAGGGTTCGCGAGCGCCAGGGGACAGGAGAGAACTCCAACCGTAAAAGAAAGACAGGTGCATCGCTACTAGGAACAAGTGCCACGCTAGTAGTAACAAGTGCCTTACTAGTAGTAACAAGAAGCTATTAGAAACAAGTGCATCGCTACTAGGAACAAAGGGCATTTCTACTAGGAGCGATCGGACGCTACTAGGGGCTCCTGGCATCGCTACTAGTAACAAGAAGCTACTAGTCTAGAGTCTCTCAGAGTCTCGTCTAAAGAAACAAAGAAAAACAGAGCAAGATTGGCAAGACGCATTGGTGTACCAAATGTGAGGCGCTCCCAGTCGGCTGCAACATCACTTCAGGCTTTGCAAACCGAGGATTCCACATGGGAAGCAAACAAACGCAAGAGAAAACAGGAATAGCGTTGCTTGCGCAATGAGGGCAACATATGAAGCGGCACGAAAGCCTACCTCGAATCCGTGTGTAGAATTCATAACGTGAAGCAAGGACGCTACTAGTACAAAGGGAATCACTAGTAACAAGAATACTAGGAACAAAGGGCATCACTACTAGGAACAAGGACGCTACTAGTAGGCCAACAAAGCCAGGTGGCAGTGATTGAACTACGCCTCCTTTGCGAGCAAAGCAGTTGTTTTTGAGTGACCAAATGTGACCAGTGATCTCCCCAGGTGCATCGCTACTAACAAGGACATTACTACTAGTAACAAGAAGCTACTAGTAACGATGCCTTTGTTACTAGTACTAACTTTTGAATTATGTTTGTTTTAAGGACCCTTTTGCCGTTCTTCTTTAGTCTTTATTTATCTTTGGCCGCAAACTATAGTAGACCTTTCTGATCCGCACTCTCTTTTGATCGCATCCCATCTTCATGGGCTCTGCGGATTTTTCGAAAAACAAATCACACTCTTCGTGACAATCTGTTGACACGTCCTCGATCTAAAGTGATCTGCACTTACTTTTGAATTATTGTTTCTATGATATCGTTTTCTTTAAAATAATAAGAACTCGTTTTTCTTCGTTTGGAGGCCATCGCTCTTAGGTTGGAGGCCATCGCTCTTAGGATGGAGGCCATTCCTAATAGGATGGAGGCCGTCGCTATTACTTTTGATTTTTTTCCAGTAAGACCTCTATTTTGTTCTTTTCTTCTTCGTTGTCCTCGATGTAAAGTGTGGAGCTTTTGACCTCGGAAAATTTGGTTAAAAATGGCCGACTGAGGTGCGGCCGGCTGAGGGGCAAACCGAACGGGCGACTCGGATGGCGCCTTCTCGCTTTGGGAAACAAAGACAGAACAACACTCAAAGAACACTAAAAGAAGAGCCTAACAAAAATAAAAATTGAACGTGCTGTTTGAAATCAAATGGAAATCATGGTCCTGTCAAAAGTGCCATTCGTCGCTTGAAGAGAAGCCAACCTATCAAACATGAGCATAGCAACAAATCCCAGGAACCAAATCATTGGTGTGAGCGTGAGCTATCCTGCGTCCATGCTGACAGCTTTGCTAGCTACTAGCTACCTCGGCCTACCCCCCCGGAGCTCTACTAGTTAAAGAACAAACAAGTAGTACTAGTAGTAGCTTCTTGCTACTAGTAGTATGGCCAGGAGCCCCTAGTAGCGTCCTTGCTCCTAGTAGTAAGGCCAGGAGCCCCTAGTAGCTTCTTGTTACTACGTAGTTAAGTTTCCCTAAAAGTCTAGGAACCAAATCATTAGTACGAGCGCTTCTTCAAGGAAGCTGGGGGAGTTTCCTTGAAGAAGCGCGAGCTATCCTGAGTCCTAGGTAGTAGCTACTTAAACTACTAGCTAGGTAGCTATTCCTTACATTTCCTAACTTGATTAAGTAGGGAGGGGAGGGTAAACAATACTAACAAAAACAACACAAAACACCGGAAAGCATCAAGAAAGCGCTCAGCGGCTGAGCTAGTGACGCCAGTACCGCTGAATGCATCGACTGGCGGAAACTTGCACTTCCACCGCCTGAGTATCCACGACAAAAGTGCAAAAGACACGTTTTATTTTTACTTTTTAAAATGGATATTAAGATGTTCTCGCCTTCACAAACTTCAGTTTGTCTTATTGTAGTTTGCTTCAAAAAGGACGTGAAGAACTAAGAACCGTCGTCTCTAGCGCCTCGCATGTCTTCCTGTTCTGTTTCTCGGAGTCTCAAACACTCTCACTCTTCTTGAATGTGTCTCAACTAGTAACAAGAATGCTACTAGGGGCTCCTGGCCTTACTACTAGGAGCAATGTTTGCTACTAGGAGCAAAGGGCATCGCTACTAGGAGCGATCGGACGCATTCTAGTCGGAGACTCTCACTCTTCTGGAATCGCCTCAACATTCTGTTCGTCATTCGCCTCTTCTGGGAACTCCATTGTCTTCTTTCTTTTCGGCCTCCACGCTAATAGCTTCTAGCTACTAATAGCTTCTTGTTCCTAGTAGTAAGGCCAGGAGCCCTAGTAGCGTCCTTGCTCCTAGTAGCGATGCCCTTTGCTCCTAATAGCTTCTGGTTACTAGTAGCGATGGCCTCCAAGCTACTAGCAATGGCATTCAAGAGACTCTTCTTTTCGATTTCTCTGTGGCAGTCCTTCGGGAATCCACGGATACTCTTCTCCTGCAAAAGAGAGCTTGTAGACCGCACGAACTGGGCAATGAATGCTTGTTGGAGCTCTTAACACCAACTTGTGTGAACCAAAGTTGACATTGTTAAAACACGTTTGCTCCTAGTCCGACTAGAATGCGTCCTTGCTACTAGTAGCGATGCCCTTTGCTCCTAGTAGCGTCCTTGCTCCTAGTAGCCAGGAGCCCCTAGTAGCTGCCGTTTTGTTGAGAAACATTCAACCGTCACAGTTTTCGCGCCTAAATCACCCAAAGCAAACCATCAATAAATCTTCGGTGGAAATGATAGGAACCCTGCATTCATGGCACTGAGGTGTTGTCGTGTCTCTGTGATGCGTCCTTTGCGTGACACGGTGCATTGCATGAATCATGTATCTTTGGTTGAAACATGGAGGCCATCGCTACTAGGTTGGAGGCCATTGCTATCTTTGGTTGAAAAATGTAGATCTTGTACCTGCCTATCCCGCTCGTGTCATCAGTGACATGCAACATGCGCTGTGAGACTTTCTTGCAAGCAATACACAAAATCGTTAATCATCATCATGAACGTCATTGACAAACACCAGCAAACAAAACTCGAAGAAACACTTCTCTTTTGCCGACCACAAGAATCTATTACTTAGAGTGGAATTGAAAATGATCTGGGCTGAGCTGCATCGCTCTCAAGTTGAAAGCTCTGAGCTCGGCGAAAACCAAAAATTCCAGCTCAACTGCTACATCCAAGCATCTTTGTGTACACTTTGTGTACATGTTTATCCGATTGTTTAAGATTCTGTCTGAAAAACAATCTGCGGCTTCCCAGGCGAGGCTGAATCTCGTTGTGATTCAAATCCTTCGACACTCTCTGTCTCGGTCACAATCTGCAGTTCCTTGACACCCAGCTGCGACTTTATGACTTCTGTCAAATCCCGCAACATGGCAGCCTTGTCACGGGAGATAAGGCTGAAGCCGAACAAACATGTGAAGAAGAATCAGTGACCTAGAGCAGTTAGCGAGATTTTTCTGCCAAAAAGGCTCAGACAACCACCGAAGTCATGAAACTTTCTTGGACAACCATGGAAAACCGTCGCAGGGTGCACAGCCGAGCCAATTGACCGAAAATGATGTTTATTGTGGATTAGACAAATGTGCGTGGCAGGTGCGTGTATGATTCAAACACGCATTTTACATGTCACATGTTTAACGCCTTGAAAAACGCACGTGTAGTTGTGAGAATTCTGATGATGTTCGCGTCTACGAGAACAGGGGGTCGGGGATGGGGTCGGGTTAATGACAGATGTTGCACATGCTATGCAATTGCTTTTCTCGGAACGGACTGTCTGGAATCTGGAACTGATTTGCTTTGTGAGAACATAGCGAAACGCACATGGCCTCCAAAAAAGGTAACTTTCTCGGAAGGTTCGAAGACATGGATATGGCCACTTTCCACTGTAAACAACTGTATTTCCAACACAGTGATTCAATTCCCCCACTTTCAAACGACTTCACATTTGAAAAATACAATCAAACCGCATGCGTTTGCATACTTTTCCGACGCCTCACATGATAGAATTGATCACCACTGCTCGTGCGGTTTTCAATCTGCCGGGATGTTTATCGTGGCAGTCTGTTCTGTGCGTTCATCAGGACCTGCTCTTGCACCTTAAGATACCTTAAGTGGCGCTGGCGAGAGCATTTGCTCTTAGGTTGGAGGCCATCGCTAGTAGGATTGGAGCATTTGCAGAAAACCACTTTGAGCCTAAGCTTGTGCGAGCACGTTCTGCGCACGCTGCGCACGCGGCACATGCTGACATCTTGCACAGGCTATGTACACGTCACGCCTGGGCCTGCTTCATCGCTCAAAACGTTGGGGTGCCGGGCGGTCAACAAACATAGCAAACCGTGCAACACCAACGTGCGTGGAACCCACTTAGACTGACTCAGCAGGAAAAAAGTTGCTGTTACTAGTAATAACGCAGTTGTTACTACTAGCTTTTTGCTACCAGAAACGATGTACTTGTTTCGTGGACTGTGCAAGTTGTCTGTGCTCTTGCCACCTGTTTCGCTCATTGGCGATTTCACGGGATGCCAGAGGATGCCACGTGATTGCGCGGGAGGGACGCAGCGAAGATCGGTTTAGAACCTAATCTCAAACTAAAGATCTTGACCTTTCAGTAGCTAGAAGCTACTAGCAACAAAGGGCATCGCTACTAGGAGCAAGAAGCTACTAGTAACAAGTGCATCGCTACCAGTAACAAGAAGCGACCATAGACCTTTCTTCCTTTTTTTTTTGTTTCTAGTAGCGTTGTTCTGTCTCAGGCCTCATCAAAGGGCAGCTCGAGCTCCAACGCTTCTGGGCCCCTCGTCTTGACTTCCTGGACAATGGGACCGAACATGTGCGGCTTCGTAACATGAAACAAGGCTACATGAAGAAAGGTCTAGTAGCTTCTTGTTGTCCAGTAGTAAGGCCAGGAGCACCCCTAGTAGCGTCCTTGCTACTAGTAGCGATGCCAGGAGCCCCTAGTAGCTTCTGGTTACTAGTAGCGATGCACTTGTTGCTAGTAGAGATGGGTCTTATGTCCGGTTTCCAGCGCGCCTTGGACATAAGGAAAGAAGCAAAGGGCATCGCTTGCTTCATGACTTGCTTGTCGAAGTTGATGGATTTGCGGAGGAGGCCCATAAAGTTCTTGTCGACGGGTTCATAGTCTTCATTGAGTTCGACTTCTTGTAGAACCTCGACAGAAACCGTCAAATTCTATTGCGCCGCATGATTTGACTTTCGGGACCCGTTAGGCGCTCACACGATTCATTTGGTTCCTAGATGAATTGGGAAACAAACAAAAACATCCTTTTACAAGGTGCATGGATGGTGTGACCAGTTAAAGGAGCCAACTTTACTCCCTAAGAGGGTGGGAATCAGACTACTTACTGGAAAACTTGACATCTCTTTTTCCGGGGACACCTTGAGGCCAAAAAAGCTCGTGCACACGCTCGTGTTTGTGCAGTTTGTGCTTGACGTCTCAAAAGCGCACGTTTGTGCAGTTTACGTGTCCCACAACGTGAAAGAGTGTTGCTTCCAATATAGGTGTGCTTCTTCATTCCGGTTCGATTGAACGATTTGGGAGCGACAAATGGAGCATTCAAGGGCATATTTCTTTGGAGGCCATTGCCCTTAGAAACAAAGGACAAATAGAAAGGAAGAAAGGTCTACTAGCTTCTTGTTATTGGTATGCCCTTGTTACTAGTAGCTTCTAGCTACTGAAAAACAATAATTTTTGCCGACCAAAATTGGTGGAATGCCGTGGTCGACCCAAACAGTGCAACTAGAATATGTGAGAGGTTGTGAGTTGCCAGTTTGACTGTAAAGTCTTCATCCTTTTTCTCACACATGTCTTAAAGAGGAAACACTGTTTAGTATTTTGTGTTCTTGATTTTCTTTGGGGGTGGTGCAGTTAATTCGTGTCAAAGCACCAAGAATCACACGTTTCCACAAGACGTGAGAACTTTCACAAGCTTTCACAGGCCTTCCATCAATTCCCCAAGTTAAACGAGCACAAATTATGTGACTTTGCTCACCATTCCTGGACTTTCTCCATTCTGCCTCGCTTTAGCCACCTTAGCCTTTTCAATTTGGGCAGTAGCACTTTCTGGGGTCCTGTTAGCTTGGTATCTCCCACTTTCCCCGTTTTGCGCGCCTTCATGACCTCAACCTGCCATGGCTTGTAGCTCTTTGCCACAAAAATGATGGCTTGCGTTGGAGCCACGTTCTTCGAAGCGACGTTCTTTTTGCCCTTCTTTCGCTTTCCGCTTGCCTTGTACTTCTCCAACTGTAGCCGGAAAGACCGAAGAGATCCTTGAATCAAGGCATACTGCCGGGATAGAAAGGCATCGACCGATACCTCGGGCCACTTTTCGTCCACCACAAGTGTCTCTTTTCCAAGAACCTTTCTCCAAAGATGCTCACAAAAGTGCGGAGCAATGGGAGACAATGTGACGGTTTGGGTCTCCAACAGGAACTTGATGACCTTTGCATGCACATCCCCATTGGTGAGAATGCTGTATTGGGATCTCAAGTTCTCCAAATCATACCAAACGCATCGCAAAGCATCAGTGAACAGCATCTTGGAGTATGCAGAATGCGCATTTTGTACTGAGGTGCTGATCTCATTACTAAAGACTTGATCTAGGAATGTGAGATCACCCGTCCGCATGTCCGGCAATCGCTTTACAGCATCTTCCGCCCAAGCTTGGAGATTCGTCAAGCGCAAAATGGTCTTCCCACATGATTCAGTGGAGAAATTCGCATCTTGCAAACCATCTCCACTATCTGCACATGCGATGCGCGTGGCATCTGCTGAATAGGTGGAGATTGCTTCCTCAAGCGTTAGGAAGTTGCCTTTGGATTTGCTCATCTTCTCTGAATTCACCATCACATGTCCATTACAATAGAAAGCTTTGGGCCACAGACTCGAATCCTCCCAGACTGCAGCATGATTGAAGAGTGACATCGTCAAATGGTTTTGTATAAGGTCTTTTCCGGAGCATCTCAAATCCACGGGGTACCAGTAAGAGAACTCCTTCCTCATCTTCACTAAGAGTTCTTTGGATAACGAAGTTGGAGATGTTTCTGTGATGCCAAAGACGTAGTCAAAAACTTCTTCAGAAAGGTCTTCCGGCTTCACCTGCTCAACCAAGTGAGCGACCGTGTAGTATGCCATGTATATCGTCGAATCACTGAGACTTTCAATGAGCCACTGCTCATCCCAGGGAAGCTTGGTGCCCAAACCAAAGGTTCTTGAACATGCCCAATCTCCAAGCCACCCCACTGCATGCGACAGGGCATTTTTGGAAGCTTCACTGAACATTTCGAAGTTGCCTTCAACATGCTCACGCACTCGCTTGGTCCAGGCCTCATCACTATACTTCAAGTACCACTGCTCACATAGTGCCACGACACACTCATCTCCTGAACGTGCCACGACTTTGGATTCAGGCTCAAAATATGCTAGTGCTTCTCCTTTTTCGATGAGGTCTTCCTTGATTTTGGCTTTGACATCAGCTACTTTTTGTCCTTTGTACGCTCCAACGTTCATGATGCCTGAGTAAAAACCCTTCTGGTAAACCTCTTTCTTGGCAGCTGCCAACTTGTCTTTCTCTCGGTGTGAGCCGATTTTCATCTGCTCACAAACAGCAGGAGCCGAAGCAAATGAAGCCTCATCCTCTCCATCTCCGTCGAAGGTCAAGATTTCTTGAACCTCAAACGGAACACACCATTCCTCTTTCACATTGTATTGATCTCGCCAGTTTGCT